ACCCTGTCTCAAGAAAACAAAGTGGATGTCTTCCAAGAATTACAGCCAGGGTGATCCTCAGGCCTCCACACACATGCACAGACTTGTGCACCCACATGTATATGCATACACACACACCACCACAACAACAATAAAGATGACTGGTAAGCTCTGATTTCGTTAGTTCTGATTTAGAAGATAGAAAACTTTATTCCTATTTAGCCCAGAAAGAAGTTGAGAAACCACTAAGCAGCTCGTTCAAGGTTACTGTCCTGGTAAATTCTAGAACCTGGACTCTAACCTCAGACTCTAGCCTTCAGTCATGCTCTGCCTGAGTGTGTATAGTAGAAGACAGCTGTCGTGCATGTTTCTTTATACATATTAGATGTCGATCGGAAAGACACAGACTGCGAAATCCACATGGGTCCAGCACACAGAACCCCCGCCACTGTCCCTAGTGCTCCCACTAGTGTCCCTAGTGCTCAGAACTGTCCCACTTCATGTGTCAGCCGTCCCACCACTGTGACAACAGCTTCGGGGAGAAAGGTTCGTTTGGGCTCACGGTTTCAGAGGGTTCCATTCACAGTCAGCTCCATTTTACTGCCTCAAAGGAGCGAGGGAACATGCTCGCAGATACTGCTTCTACTCACAGCAAGAACAGCTGGCCCAGTCTCCTTTCCCAGAGCCCTGCCCGAGTCCTCCTGGGGAGTCTAAGGCTCCGGGAACGCTTTCATAAAGAGGCAACTTCAGGCTCCTCTCAGTGACGTGGAAAGAAAAACAGTTTACTTCCCTCCTCAGAGGTCCAAGGAAAAGAAAACATCTTTCAGAAGCTCCCTACACACACACACACACACACACACACACACACACACACACACACACTTCGGTTTCCTCCGTCCCATTTTATTTTGTTTGTTTGTTTGTTTTATGTGCCCCAGGCTGGCTTTAAACTTACTTTATAACTGAGGATGACCTTGAGGTTCTGACCACCCCTTCTCCCTGCTGAGGCTGATGTTCCAGGTGTACAGCACCCCATGCAGCTGACGTCATGCAGGGGTTACATCAGAGCTTTCTGCAAGCTTGGCAGATGACCTACGGAGCCCCGTCTCCCCCTGCGCTCTCTGTTTGGATGACCTAATTGTTGACCTAACTTTCGGTGGAGAAGTAAGGTCAGATTAAATATGCCCTTCATGAAGATTGCTACATTTTATAAAAAACACTTAGCAGAAAAGTAATAGAATTTACTAAAAGGTTGTGTGGAAACTGTTCATCTTCCCAGAGAATCGTCCACAGAAGTAATCAACACACTGACATGAGCATCTCTCTCTTTCTCTCTCTCTCTCTCTCTCTCTCTCTCTCTCTCTCTCTCTCTGGAGACTCATGGTTTGAAAGTGCTTTTAACCATGCAAATTAGAGCAGCTAAAGTTAATTCTATCAAACATTTGATGCTTGTTAGAATAACCTTTTTTTCCCCACCTCAAGCGACATCTAACTGAGGGAACAGACACATGGCTACATAAAGTCTTAGGAGTTGCGACACAGAGTATTTTTTTCTTGGAACGTGTCACAGGCTGGAGCCTTTAGGGAAAATGTCCCCAAAGTGATGAATTCTTGTTCCAAGATGCCTTGACTGATGAGCAGAAACTGTCTGAGGAAGAAGGGAAATACAGCATGCCTGGCAGGACCCGGGCAGAGTTCTTTGGAAAGTCAAAAGAAATTTGCCAAGCCCAGAGAAGCCAGGCCTCCTCAGTCACAGCAGGTCCAGTTCCGGGGCCGTGCCCAGGACTGCTCTGGAAAGGCTGTGCTCCAGCTGGCAGCAGACCAAAGGCTGTTTCTCCTTGTGTAGCTCTGGGGCTCCCCCGAGAGAGGCACTCAGCCACTCAGCTTCAGGGCACTGTGGCCGAGCAGAGAATGCCAGCATGAATGGCCCTCCTATGCCCTGCTTTGTAATGTGAGCCGTTATTCCAGAATTCAAAACGAGAACAAAGAGTCAGGCAAGAAACAGAATATTCACGGAAAGCACTCTTAGCTTCTTGAAACCTCGTTATTGTAAGAGCCATGGCAGCTGCTGCTTGGTAGTGTCTTCAGGAGAGGACAAAGTGGTCGGACCCAGGAACTCTCAACATTATGGCCTGCACAGGACCGCACAACCTGCTGACATGGTGAGGAGAAAGTTCACAAGTCCACAGACTTAGCCGAGTAGCTACAGGCAGTTAAAGGCTTCTGAAGGCGAGAGAATTTGTTTTCTTAGGGATCTTTAGTGGTCACCCCTAAATATAAGCACATACAATAACACTAATTGAACTGAATAGGTTGCGGTGTGTGTGTGTGTGAACAATAATTGTAGAAGAAGGAGAGGTCATGAGCTTGACAGGAAGTGATGGGGACATGGCAGGAGCTGGGAGAAAGGGAAGGAGGGAAAGGATACAGATACTGTGTACTCCTGAATGAAATTCTCAAATTAATTTTGAAACAAAACATAGAACACTACATTCTTGGGTTTATTGGGTGGGGTGGTGTTTTAGGGACTGGATCTTATGTAGCCCAAACCGGCCTCCAATTCCATGTGTATAGACCAGCAGTTCTTAACCTGGGGGTCGTGACCCCTTTTGGTGGGGGTCAAACAACCCTTTCGTCGGGGTTGCATTTCAGATCTCCTGTATATCATATATTTACATTATGATTCTTAACAGCAGCAAAATTACAGTTCTGAAGCAGCAACAAAACAATATTGTGGTTGGGGTTCACGACAACAGGAGGAGCTGTATTAATGGTTGAAGGATTAGGAAGATTGAGAACCACTGGTATAGAGGACAATCCTGAATTTCTGGCCCCCTAGCTTCTACCTTGCGAGTCATGGTTTTACGGCGTACCCCATCATGCTCAGTTTGTGCAGTGCTGGGATCAGAGCCCTGGTTCTGTGCACGCTAGCAAGCACTCCGTCAACTGCAATACATCCCTGGTCCCCTATTGCTATATTTTTTCACATTATCCCTGAAAGACTGGGACTATTGCTTCCTCTGTGTGTGTGTGAGCATATCTGGGGAAGCAAAGCCCTGGACCCAACATCACAGGGCACCAGCAGAGAGCTGGAGCCTGTTGTACTCCAAAATAAGCATCCTTACCAGGTCTCTCTACCTACAGAAAGGCAGTAAGTTCATATCGACGCTCCGCTTTGCAGCTCACTGAAGCCCTTCCGTAACCGAGCACCCAAGGAACAGTGTACAGGGACTCTACAGGGTCAAAGGGATTCCCCTCATCAGGTCCTTGAACGGTTTGCAAAAGCAGTGGGTTTGCAAGCTTCCTACCTCCCAGCTAAGGCCTGAACCCCCCCTCAGAGCAATTCTCTGAGCTTGCAGTATCCTGGTGCTCCTCTCTGCTACTAAGGTCAGGACTACACGTTTCTGCCAGACTCTTTTCCTCTGTAGAGGAAGAAAAAGAAGCCCAGCCACGTGTGATAACTCACTCTTTTAAATCTCAGCACTTGGGAGGGAGAGACAGGTAAGTCACTATCAACACAAACAGGTCAAATTGAAAGAATTTAATATTTCCATTTCTTTCACAGAAGAATGAACACTAGCAAACCAATAGAGTTAAAGGCTTACATGACTTGCTCAAATTCTATGTCTAAAGTGTTTATCTTATAAAAGTTTTTATTTAATAAGCTGGATAATAAATACATGCCTGTGGTTCCCAGGGATCAGCTGTAGGGGGATTATGAGGTTGATGCTTGCTATCCTCGGCTAACTATGCATTGTTCATATATGAATGTGTGTGTGTGTGTGTGTGTGTGTGTGTGTGTGTGTGTGTGTGTGT